ACAAATAATAATAATAATAATAATAATAATAATAATAAAATTCGAATCCACAGTATGGTATCCTCCTCCCTGAAGTACCTTCTAGCCCATATGTATTTAGAGGCACCTGTGGCTTTTCCTAATTGGATATCCATTTCTTATAACAGAAACCCTGAGCTCTAAGTGTCTCTATTCATCGAGAGACCCTCTTCATACACAGCTAAGAATCTGGCCTCTGCAGCCACCAAAACTGACAACCCCAAATCCCATACCTCTTTGCCTCATCCCCCTCCCTTAAATTTCCTTTGCCAAAATGAGGCTTCAGTACTCTGCTATGACTGTTAACAGACAGATTGCAACCTTAAGAGAGTGAAAGTGCAGGTGGTTGTAGCTGAAGCAACTGTGGGGGATTGGTTTTGTGTATTGGATGGAAATGAGATGTGTAGAGATCTGAGTACCTTTCCTTTCTAGTGTTTCCTGTGGAGATCTACATGCCTTGCCTCAGTCAGTGCCACAGACCTTAGAGGTCCACCAGCTTCCTTCTCACCAGCCCCCTGCAAGGGAGAATGGTTCTGGTCAGGACTTCCTGGCACTCTTCCACCGCTGTCATTAAAGGTTACTCACTTTTGTTCACAGACACCTTGGACCTGAATGCAGAGGAGAAAGCAGTCCTGATAGCCAGCACCAAATCCCCCATCTCCTTCCTGAGCAAACTGGGACAGACCATCTCTCGGAAGCGTTCTCCCAAGGTTTGTGTGCACCAGAGTCACATTAATGGTGGCTGCAGAACTAATGGCAAGGGATGGTGACCAGACTAATGCAGTTTGCCTCCTCTCTTGGTTCAGGATAAGAAGGAAAAGGATTTGGATGGGGCTGGAAAGAGGCGCAAAACCAGTCAGTCAGAAGAGGTGAGATTCATCTTGGTTTGCTAGGATGATTATACTATATTGCCCTTTTTGGTTTACATTCTCAATTCCCAAACTAGTATTGCTAGATCTTTGCATGTTCATGTGTTATGAGAATCTCTGTGGGGTTTTGCCTTTGTTTCATTTTCTGGAGAGGAGCAAGAAATTGTGCACACGTGTGCTCAGACTGTCTCTTTTTCATCGAATCACATTTGGCAAAGCACAATGACTTCGCTGGGGTCTGACAATGCCAGCACAGGTCTGGGTGCCCCATAGTGCCTCATGTCTTGGGATCTTGCTGACTGGAGATTAGAACTTTGAAGAGTGCTGTTAAACTCAGCCTCAAACTGCTGTGAGGCTCGGACCAAGAAAAGAGTGTCTGGAGGTTCCCTGTCACGGAGCCTGATGCTTGAGTACTTTCTCTTGGGCAGGAGGATGCTCCCCGGAGCTACAGAGAAAGACCCACCCTGGTGAGCACTCTGACGGACAGGCGGATGGATGCCGCCATTGGGAACCAGAACAAAGTAAAGTACATGGCGACCCAGCTACTGGCCAAATTTGAAGAGAATGCCCCTGCACAGTCTACTGGTGTAAGGAGACAGGTGAGCCATAAGCCCATCTCCCAGACTGCCCAGATCACACAGGAAGGAAGATCTTGAGCCATGCCACAGACCCTGAGGGTCCTGGGTTAGGTTTTCCCTTACCTGAATCTTACGTATTCAGGAGTCCATTAGCTTCACTTGGGGTCTGGGGAGTCTGTGACCATAACCAGTGCAGAGCTCTAAAAATTATTTATCTAGATGACATAACACATGTACATGTTCACATATATACATAAAACACACGTGTAGTTGACATGGTGTAATAACACTTGGGAGGCTGAGGCAGGAAGATTGTGAGTTCAAGGCCGACTTGGACTACTTAGTAAGGTTTTGTCTCAAGAAAAGGAAAAAGGACTAGGAGCTTACTGGGGGAAATCTGAAAAATATAGAGGTAATTAAGGCACCTGTTAATCTTGCCGCATTTCTTTCTGGACTCTTTCTAGGGCATTCTTATTTTCATGGTGGGCTGTTCTGAAGACAAGCGTCCCTACTCTGCTTTGTTTTTTAACCTTAGGCATACTTCCATGTTTTCCTCAAGCACCCTCCAGGCATCTTCAGAGTGTGCAGGCGCCACGCTCGCTCGCTCGTAGCCATCACCTCTACGTGGGACATTTTAGTTGCTTCTCATCTTTGATAAGATATGAAGATATAAGTTCTTTGAGATAAACCTACTTTTCTACACTACAGATTGTTTTCCTGGGATATTACCAGGAACCCAAGCATTTTAGGTCCTCGAATTATTCTCCCTAAGTCACATGTGAGAGTCTAGACAGCATTTGATCTAAAGTGTCCGGTGTCCTGGCTTGTCTCTCCCTTGCTCTGTGAATGTCACTGAGATTTCATAACTGAAAAGGCGTTCAGAGGGTGAGGTTCCTCTTCTCTCCTCCATGCTCATAGACAGTCCCTATGGGTCAGCTAGCGGCCCGGCCTTTGCCTCTTAGGCCTCGCTTTTGGTGATGAATGTCTACCCTCTTTGTCTTTTCTGTGGTGTTGCAGCAGAGATGGAGCGGCTGCCCAGGATCTTCCAGCCCCACCTCAGAAGGTTGGAGTGCCCTCCAGTGGAAGGTTGCTTAGTAGATGGAAATAAGCTCTCCAACTCAGATAGTTTAGACTTGCAGAGAATTCAGTGTGGGAAAATGGTGATAAGATCACAGCTCATCCCCATCCCCTTTTTTCCTTTCTCTCTTTTTGCATTTGTTTTGGTTTGAGGGAGGCTAATTTCTTTCCTTTATAAATGTAACTTTCAGGGACTAGAGAGAGGTTAAGGAACTTTCAGAGGTTAAGAGCACTAGCTGCTTTTGCAGAGGACCCAGGTTCAGTTGGCAGCACCTACATGGCCAGTAATAATCATCCTTAACTCCAGTTCCAGGGGATCCACTGCACTCTTCTGGCATCTGTGGGCATTACATGACACAGGTGCACTTGCATACATGCAGGCAAAACACTCATACACATAAAATAAAAATAAATAAGGGACTAGAGAGATGGTTCAGCGGTTAAGAGTACTGGCTATTCTTTTTTATTTTATTTATTATTTTTGTTTTATGTGTATGCGTGTATTTCCTTCATGTAGGTAAGTGCACCAGTGTCGTGCAATGTCCACAGAGGTCAGAAGAGGCTGTCGGATCCCCTGGGACTGGAGTTATGGACAGTTGTTAGCTGCCATGTGGGTGCTGGGATTCGAACCCAGGTCTTCTGCAAGAACAACCAGTGTTCTTAACTGCTGAGCCAACTCTCCAGCCCAAGTACTGACTATTCTTGCAGAAGAGCAGGGTTTGAATTCCAGCACCCACATGGCAGCTAACAACTGTCCTTAACTCCAGTTCCAGGGGATCTGACATCCTCTTCTGTCCTCTACGGGCATTGCATGACACGGGTGCACTAACACATATGCCAGCATTACACTCATACACATAAAATCAAAATAAATAAGTGAATAAATAAATAATTTTTAAAGTAAAAATAAATGTAACTTTCTAAGAGTTGATTTAGCCTGCCTCCTCTACAGTACATAGATGTGTGTCTGTCTTCCATGTCTTCTCCTACCTTAATGCATTTTATTTTGTTTTGTCTCCATGTCCTGCCCCCACCCACTCATGGCCTGTGTGTGTCATAGCCTACACAAGAGCGTGGGGTCAGCCAGCCGTCCTGCTGCCTGCCTGAGCAGGGTCGCCCTGCTCCCACCCCCCAGTGGAAACAGGTAAAAGTACTGCTGGGGTCGAGATGGGGCTGCAACTGGCCTTCCCACTCTACCACCCCGCTCCAGGCTTACCTGAGAGCATAGCTCACCAGAGCAAGAAGGCTCTCTGCTGGGTAGTGTCTCTGTGTGTGTGTGTGTGTGTGTGTGTGTGTTGACTTCAAGAAAAGATTCCAGAGACAGGGCTGATCTGATTGCATGACTGGACTAAGCACTGAGATCTGAGGAGCCTGTTAGGAAGGCAGACTCTTAACCTGGTGTTGACAGCAGCTGGAGTAATGTGGCAAGTTGTCCAGGTTCTTGAATCTTGGTGTTTCCTGTTGTAACTGCTCCCAAGTTGGCTTTTTGCTAGTGTGTCTCCTTGTGACCTTCATCAGGACTAAGAACTGGGGAAAGCAAAGCCTTTCCTGGGAGACGAAAAATGTTACTCACAGACGTGGTCATGAAGTATGGGTTTGTTTCAAACATGAGTGTTCATGGGGATTATTTTCCCTTGGGGTTTTGTCCACATCTTTTGGGGGACAGGGACTAGAGATGTAGCTCAATGATATAACACTTGCCTAGTTTGCATGAGGCCCTGGGTTTCATCCCTAGCAACACAAAACAAACAAAACACCACTTCTGGGACTTTTCACTGCAGCCTTTTCAGGATCTCCTGAAAAGCTGCTTATCCTGACAGTACAGGAACAGCAGGTAACCACTCCTTGGTCAGAATAGAAGACCTGTCAGTGGGTTTGGGGACCTCTGTACTCTTGTTCCTAGTGTCAACATTGATCAGCTTCCTGCTCTAGAGAAAAGAGCTTGGATGAGCTTTCTCATAATAGGTGTCACTGTGGTCAGATGAGCTGATTCTGGCTTTCCCACAGTCAGCCTGCCAGCTTTGGTGCTGGGAAGTGCTAGGGAATGGCCAAGTTACTAAAATGATATTCAGGGAAAATTTTCTTTTCCAACATAATAATATGTCACAGGGAAGACAAGGCAGAGATCGAATGTTGGAGCAATGTGCAAACTCACAACAGAAGCCAGACTTACTTCCCTTTTCTCTATACCCAGGGAGGTCTTCTGAAAAATTTCATCAAGAATTTGCTTGTGTTTTACTTTCTTAACCTTTGCCTTGACATCTAGGTGAAAGGGAAGGTTTGAAAGAGTGAGCTCTAAGCCGGAGTTTGGAACTCTACATGTAGTCTTACTCTACCAGAAAAAAACAGAGGGACAGGAAGGCCAGGAATAGCTGCACATGGGGGCAGGTGACTGTGTGCAGCCTGTGCGGGTGTGTGCTTGCTGGGCTTGCTGGGCAGTAGAGGGCAGTGAGTGTGGCTCAAGGAGCCTGCTGAGACTTGGTCTCTGTCCTGGTGAAGACTGACTTGGCAGCTTCAGGTCAGGAGGCTGCTCGTGAAGTCCAGTAGCCCTTTCATTGTGCCGAGTCCTGTGTGGAGACTGCTTTTGTTCCTGCCTATACAGCTCGTCATGTGAGTCACTTACTGTCACGGTCAATGAAGTAAAATACTGGTATTTGGTATGGATGGAACCATTAAAGTTAAACAGGAGTCTGGAGGAACAGGCCCCAGAGATAAATTTTAGAAAGAGCAGCTGGGCAGATGTGAGATGTAAGTGGGAAACCTCGAGCAATGCTGTATCAAGTGTCAGAATTGCAGATTTGCGTGGTGACAGAGGTAATACTGTGCCGTCCTCTACCTCATGTTCTTTTGATCCTATGAAATGTAGACTATTCACATTCAATCTTTTCTTAACTCCAACTCATGAGTCTGGCCCTCTAAATTTATCTCCTGAAAGCTAGAGATGGGTTCGGTGCCAGAGGCTCTAAAGACCCAGGACCCAGTGCCAGGATGCCTGGGCTGCTTACTGGCTCCCATCAATTCAGGAATGGGGCGGACAGGCAGCTCGTCACTGTGACTCATTGTGTGTTTCTCTTGAAGTGGTTCCCACTGAGGCAGGAAGGTGTGGCAGGCATGACAGCAATGGCGGAGTTGGCACAAGGACCTGTTCCAGCTTAGGTCATCATGTGGAAGGAGGAAAACGAAGAACAGCTCTGTTCACCAGTGACCTCTCTGTTGTTCTTTCCTGTATAAATACTGCAGCCCTCCCTTACCCTCCCCTTTGCCTTTTGATCTCAGAAACGCATCCTGCAGACAAACTGTACCCAAATCAGCCTGGGTTTGGAAGTAAATTGTCATGTGAGGTAGGGACAGTAGAGAGATTTCTCCAACTTTACAGTTGCCACAGTCGACACAGACACACACACAACACACTCCCACCCCACCATTCTCTACTTATATGTTTCCCTGGGTAGAAGAAACTGAAAATCCCCCGGAAGGTACCAAAGAAGCACAGGGTAATGTGTGATTGTTTCTCAAACACTGAGAAGCAGCTTCCTGAATCACAGACTAGCTCACAAAAAAGGGAACGCTTGGACTAGGCGGAACAAGGCAGAAACTGTAGTCAAAACATTTAGTTAGTGCTTAACTTTTAGATCTTGTTTTCGGCTCTTTCTTGCATTTCTTTGGCAGTTTCCAGAACTTTGGAGTGAGTGAGAAGAGGGAAGCTTGATGGGATGTGGTCACTGATGGCTTTCAGGGGAGCATGCTTTACTGCCTTGAGTGAACGTGTGACCTACTGTGCAGAGGTTGTGTGGTATCCCTTGTGGGCCCACCTGCCTTTTCTCCCTACTTGTAATCAAGCCCATTTCTGTGTCCTCAACTTCCTGCCTGGTAAAGCCCTTTGACTCCTGGCATTTAGAGGACACCATACAGCAAGTTCTCGCCAGCTGCATAGTTACCTACATCACCGAGTTTAAGGTGCCAGTCCAAGGTGGGGGCCAAGAGACTGTGACAAGCCACACCCGAATGCAGAGTGAGGCGCTGCTGAAGGTGGAGGGTCATGAAAGGGGGCCTTGTGGGATGCTTTGCAAATGTGCAGATGTGCAAGTGCTCCTCAACCCTCATAGGACCAGCCCTCCTGTGGCCGCTGTTTCAACCATGTTCTTTCTGTTTGTGTCTGTTGGTGTAAAAGCGACAGGAAAAGGAGCGTTGTCGGACCTGCCCCAAAAAAGTGATCACTCTTTCTCCTCCCCCTACTCCACCTCCCTGCCGGGCGTGCAGTGGCCAGCAGGTGATCCTCTCTGCATGCTGTGTCCTGTCTGTCCTGCCTGCCACCTCAGTGCCCCCTCTTTTTAAAAGATAAGTTTTTTTTTTAAAAAAAAAAAGGTCACTTGTAGTAGAAGCAACCTTTATTGCTATAAGTGAGTAATTCCTGCTGGGACCTCAGGATAGTACCCTGTACAGTCAAATCTTGGATGGTCTAGTCTAGTCCCTATTATGGGAGGACAGCCCTGTAACCACAAACCAAAATATAAACTCCACTTGTCTCAAATCCAAGTCCCAGCAGCCCGAACAGCCATACATTTTTATAGAACCCCACTTAAAACAGCTGGTTTTCTCTTGCTGTCCTATGCAATAAGATTCAGATGTGCATGAAGAAGCTTCATCTGGCTTCCCCTGCATGGGTTTAGTTCCTTTTGATGCTGACATCCTGCCAGAGGGCTTAGCCAGCTTCTAACCAACCCAGCCACCTGCTTACACTCCAGGCAGATCGTTGAAGAACTGCTTTCCAGGGCCACCAGCCGTGTGTGGCTGATGCATAGCACAAGCACTTGTTTGTGGCAGGTGCACCCATACAAAGTATGCACGTAGAATGGCTTTGCTGCCCTTCTGGTTGTGTCCTGTCAAAATGCCATTTCTGACGGCAGCATTTATGAAGACATATTTTATCAGTTAAAGTGCCTTATCTAAAAGGTGACTCTCCTCAGATACATCTGATGTTACAGGCCCTCCTCGTGTCCCTGAGTCCTGGTGGCTGTCATGACTGCCCAGTATCTTCTCTAAAGAAGAACTCACAGTCTGAGCATTTTCTCTGCCCCACTCAGTGTCCACATTGCCTTCCACACAATATTTCAGTCCTCACAGTTAACTCTGTGAGGCAGGTATCACCACCATCTCCACTTTATAGTTTGAGGCATAAAGTAGAACAGCCAAGGGATTGTTCAAGCCTACAGGTGAGCAGTGGAAGCAGCACTGGATCTGGGCTGTGTGAGTCTGCAGCCGGGCTCTGGGCTCAAGCTGCCTTGTGGCAACATGTCAGGGGCAGCCACCTGGGAGGTTTGGCTTCAACTTCCCCCAGGCTGTGTGGAAGACAAACATCCCTAGTTATCCCTAGTTGTGAGTGTGGTCTTCCTGCCCCTTCAGTTGCCATCTTAGGGTTTTCTTCAATTCCTTGAGGCAACCCTGCGCCTGTCCTACAACTTCCATCACCGTACACATGTACCCTGTCTATTAACCGAGAGCGCTTTCAGTCTTCCTGCGCTTCTCCCTGTAATCAACTGTGCCTGGGTCCCATGTTCCTGTTTAGTGCTTACCTCCCACCCTGCAGTTTCCTCTAGGCTGTTGTAACAGTCCTTTGTTCCATCCACTTTCCGTCTCCCCACCTTTCCTTTCCTGTTGTGGAAAGCGTCCCCTGTCAAACTGTCTCCTCAGCCTTCCATTGCATGTGTCTGATCTTACACCACTAAGTGAAAGACACGTTTGTACTAACCATAGTTCTTTGTAGTCTGTTGCTGGTGGACAGAAAGGCTGTTCAGAAATTTGTCCCCAGATCATGGAATTTGAGGAGGGATTATGGTGAGTTGGGTGGGGACCACTAGGGGCTGGGGATATATATTGAGTTGAACTCTGAATTCCTGCCTGAATTTCCCGCTGTGACTTAGTAGGTCCAAATAGAGTGTGGATGGAGCTTAAGTCTCTACTTTGTTGCCAACAGACGTACAGGGATCTTCATGCTGACAGCCGTGGCAAGCAGAATCCCCGCCATGAGAGGGTAACAGCATGAGCCTGTGGGGTGCTAAGAGCCACCAGGCGGGGCACGCTGTGTTGTGGGGCAGAGGGAAGGGAGCATGGAGGATAGGCCTTCTCCCAGCTTTGTGCACACTTGTCACCCAGCCAAGAGCCAGAATTCTTTTTGCTAATATTATCCCCCCCTGAAATAGCGTTCACCCTAAGATGCCCATCTGCACAGCATTCAGACTAGACGCCAATCCTAAGCACTTCTCTTGTTAGGAAGGGCCTTGGTGACTTCCCAGTTTTGTTCACCTTTCCCATTCTAAGACCCCAAAGTAGTGCTAGTGGCCAAGCAGCCTTGGCAGCCAGGGAGCACATGGGTTGGGGAGAGGTCTAGGTGGACAGGCAGGTGTATTTGAGAGTCTTAGCTTTTAAAGTAGAAGTGCTAAGAAGAGCTGATGCCCTTGCCAGAATTTGGGGAAGAGGTCAAATAGGAAGAAGATTGGGGGAAAAGGTAATGGCAAAATGGGGGTGCATAGTGAAAAGCCGTAGCTAGTTTTCTGAAAAGCTCCAGGGAGCCATCACGGAATAAAATGGTCCATCATGCCATTTATCCAATAAATGAGGTAACAGAGCCCCAGCCAGATATTTTGTTTGTTTGTTTGTTTGTTTGTTTGTTTGTTTGTTTGTTTGAGACAGGGTCTCCCTGTAGCCCCAGCTGACCTGGAACTTTCTATGTAGACCAGGCTGATCTTGAACTCAAAGAGATCTGCCTGCCTCTGCCTCCCAAGTGCAGGGACTAAATGTGTGTGCCATCACTCCTGGCTAGTCCGATGATGTTTTATGAAGCTTTCTGCATTGTGAGGGATCCCTACCCTTAAAGAAGATCTCCAGTGAGTTGGGGGTCTTGCAGCTGGTTGGTAATTTCTCAGAAACCTTACCTTTGCTCTCTGAGAAATATAATGAGAGCCAAGCAGCAATTCAGGTTGCAGCTTGGATCCATTAGAAAACAGGTGCTAGCACTAGCTCTAACCTGGACCACACTGTCAGCAGGACAGGACACTGGAGCGAGAGGAGAGGGGATCAAGGTGGAGATGGCTGTCTTCTCTGCCTCCTCCCTCACCCTCTGCTTCCCTCCTGCTTGGTGGGGCAGTTTCTACAAGCATGGTGTACAGACCCTTCCTTCTTCCCAGACCTTACCATAGTCCTCTCTTAAGAAAAGGAGCAGGGCAGTGCCCTATATTTTGGAGAATGCATATTTAATGAAGTGTTGATGGTTCTTAATAAACAACATCTGAAAAAGAAGGGAGGAAGTACGTTGAGGAAAAGGAAAGCTTGGCCCGGAAACTGTGAGGTCTAGGGCTACAGAGCCCAGTAGGGAACTGTAGTAGCTCAAGAGGCAATTAGACATGAGAGACCCTTTCCTTTTCCCTAGGACTTGTTTCTAGATTCCTCATTGTGGGGCCCCAGGCTAGATACTGTGAAGGGACAGCTTTTGTCTCTCCAGGACTCCGTCCCCTGCTCCACACCCCTGCACATGCCGTGCCCCACTTTCTGTGGTCCACCTTCACTCGACTCCCTTCTCTTCCTTCAGTTCTGACTGCCCCACATTCCAGCAGGGTGGTCAGAGCTAGAAAGCTGGCTATGCACCTGTAATAGAGGCTAAGGGGTCCTCAGGTACCTGCCACTCTACCTGTCACCCCTACAATACTGAAGTGTCAGCTCAAAATAGGGGGCACAGCAGATCTGCTCAAAGCCTAGACAGTACCTCTATGTCCCTCCTACCCTGAAAAGATTTTACCCTGAATCTAATGGAAAACGAAGCAGTTAGCAATTGCCAAGATTCCTGTGTCAGTTGGGGCCAATCTGAGGGGTTTGGGTCTTGTCTCAGGATCACTGCTTGGGGTTTGTCTGAGTCCTTAGCAAGCAGAACTGTCCTGAGCACTGGCCATAGGAGGGAAAGAGGCCCTGGGCACTGTCTACAGGACAAGTACATGCCCTAGCCATAGGACAGTGAGGTGTCTGATCCCGCTCTTTGCTAGAGTGGCTGACTTCAAGATGTCTCCTTGCCAAGGAGAAACCCCTGCTCAGGCCAGCAAGGGCTCTGTGCAGAGGCCCAAAGAGGGCTGCTCACAGTGCCTCCTGTGTGCTCCATCATCTGGTGGCAGTAATAGCCACCCAGAGGGTGAACCCAGTAGGAGCTTTCACAGGTGCTTATAGCTTGGTGTTCCAGAGCCAGCCTGGCTGTAAGCTTTGGGGGAGCAAGTGGGAAGCAGACAGGAGCTGTGAATGAGCTTTGTGTGCTTCTGGGAGCTAGAAGGAATGCTTGGCCACAGTATGTTCTGCAGATAAAGCTAGAACAGTTGGAAGCTCAAATTTCCTGTGTTTGGGGTATGACTTTAACATTTGCTGTGCTCTTTTTCTCCATCTTGTATTTTCTAGCCAGAGCCTGAACCTTCACGTCGATTTTTTGTTGACCAGTGGGAGCTCTCCCTTAGTCTCCGCTCCTCCACCCGCCCTGCTTCTCCCTCCTCTGACTCCCTCCGACAGGTAGCATGGCCTGGCCTTGGCAAAACCATGTTCTCCTGCAGCCTCTGCTCGCTCTACCTTCACAGGTGTCACTCACCTGCAGGAGACAGGGTCTCCACCTTCACCTGGCTCCTCAGAAGCTACTTGTATCTGGGGGGATGTGTGGGGCTGCCACAGACACCCGAGTTAAAGAGGCTGCTAGCTTTTGGAGTGTTTCACACATCACAGTCTGTCAAAGCGAGCCCATTGTTTAGCTGTATCCAATAGTGATAAGCATTTTTCAGCCGTCAATTGATGGCTTCCCATATTTTCAAAATCATGGGCTACCAAGTTTGAACTATATTGTCACTAACTCTCGTAAGTGAAATTGTGAGCACGTGGCACTCCAGTGCCTCCTGGAATGACCTTTTTCCCACAGTACCATCGATCCAGCTCCAAGGAATTTACTAGGGATCAGGGGGTCATTTGTCTTTGTGTCTTGTGCTTCCTATTCTTACCGGTATATGTGTGCAGATGCATATGCATGTGTGTGGTATGCAGTGGTGTAAGCCCAGCGATTGCTACACTTCGGCTCCCTGATGAGCATGGGAAGAAGGAAACCATCTGCTTTTCATACCAGAAAGAAACGGAACTTGAGTCCTTACCTCTTGGGTGGGGTGGAGGGGTGAAGGGGGTGTTGTCAGTGGACCACATCACTGAGAACTGAATGTGACGCCTCTGCACATGCAGCCTCAGGCCCTGGCTGCTCAGGTGATGGTCTCTGGTGGGAAAATAAGGGTCCTGGTGCACACAGTGGGGCAGGGGCTGCAGTGTGCCAGACTCCCATTTGCCCTCTCTACCGAAGGCGGAGAATGCGACTTCCTGCTCCAATGAGAGCTCTGCTCTCATTTCTCCTCAGCTCTGTCTGGTGTCTGCACTTCTCTGGGGCCCTAAAGATTGAGGTCCACGGGATTTATTTTCCTCACCCACTAGTAGACGTAAACTGTGGAATTAATGTGCAGAAGGTACCAATCCCGGGATGTCTTCTTTAGTTTTGAGTTGGAGGAGGAAAGTGATTGCTCAGTTCCAGCTAAGCCTTGGCTGAGCCCAGTGAACTGTTTTCTCCGGTGTGCCTCTGTTCCCAGTCTTAGAGAGTTGGCCCCCAGAGAACCCAGACACGCTCAGGTAGTGGTGCACTGAGGGGCTGTCGCCATCACTGAAATAACTGCTCCTGTTGTGTTTCTAGGTCAGAATTTGTGACAACCTCTCCTACTTGACAGCAAGCCTCCGTTGCTTCCTGTCATGAGAGGTGCAGTACACTGTCTGCCCAGGTCTCTAAAGGACCACCCACAAGACTGATTGTAGTCCCAGGAGAGGATCCAAGCTGGGCCACAGGGTGTCAGGCCTCTGTGAGCAGGATGGCTCACCATGCAGACATGGGGGTTTTCTCCTGTATCTTAAACATTGCCAAAAGGGCATTGAATTAGTTGGGTTGGGGGAACAGAGGTGGGACGTGGTGGAGGGGTATATAGATGATCTCACTATATGTAGTCCAGCCTAGCCTTAAACTCATGGCAATCCTCCTGCCTTAACCTCCCAAGTGCTAGAATTACAAATGTGTGCTACTATTTTTTTTTAAACCTTTCCCCATTTTTCAACTTGGAAAAACAATTCTTCCAGGATAAGTAACACATTCTGACTTCTGGAACTAGTTGAGCAGCTTACCTGCAGGGGGCAACATGTGACTAAGGTGCCCCACCTAGTCTAGGAGAATTCCAACCTCCAAACCTGGGTGAGTGGGACTCACCTTGCTGTACTCAGTGCCCTCTTAAATACCAGTGGGGAAATGGGCAGAGAAGGCTTCTTCCCACAGAGGTCAGGATTGCCTACTGCATGGAGCAGGTAGTGTGGGTAAAGCTAATGAGGAGGTGGTGGGTCACCAGTAATACCAGAGCTCTTCACAAGCCTGTTGCCCACATGGAGCTTCGGCCTCTGCAGAAATCAGCCTGGTTTCTTTCTCAGTGAGGAAGTAGCCCATCAGACCCATGACACTGCAGTGTTCTGCCTGGAGTTGCAGTCCCTTGACCTCTGTGTGTGTGATGTGAGCGCCTAGGATACAGACCCCCCCCCTCAAACCATCTTCCATGTTTGCATCCATTCTGTCGTCTACCTCCCTATTCTGGGACTGCACTCTTGGAAAAGACATGAAGGACCAAGTTCGTGCCTGTGGAAGATCATTTCCACAGCTGCTGCTCTTGTGTGCACTGACCACCGTGTGGATGCTGACACAATGTTTTGCTCACTGCCCAGTTTCTGCTTGTGGGCAATGTGTTGCCATGGTTTGCTGCTGCACTGTGCATTCATTTTACACCTTTCAAAGATTTTTTTTTGTATCCTTAATTTCTTTCTTTTCCTTCTCATTCTGATCATTCTGTAATCTCCAACCAATAGAAGTATATAAAGATGTACACGGGCGGAGTGAGCTCATTGGCTGAGCAGATAGCCAATCAGCTTCAAAGGAAAGAGCAACCCAAAACCCTTCTAGACAAGAAGGAACTGGTAAGAGCTATTCCAGGGGTATGTCGCTAGCTGTGGCACTATGGTGAACAACCCTGGCTTGTTCTGAGGGACTTATTACTGTAGTCATCAGAAGGCCATGTAACTTTTTTGAGGTGGTCTGAATTTTGATAACTGAATTTCTAGGACTGCAGTAGATACATAGAATGTTCCTTAGAAATGCACTTTGTTTTTTTTAATTCTTTTTTTTTTTTTTTTGGTCTTTTTGAGTCAGGGTCTCCCTGTAGCCCCAGCTGGCCTGGAACTCACTATGTAGACCAGGCTGGCCTTGAACTCACAGAGATCCGCCTGCCTCTGCCTCCTGAATGCTGGAATTAAAGGCATGCACCACCATGCCCAGTAGTTTTATTTATTTTTATTTTATGTGTCTGAGTGTTTTGCCTACATGTTTATAAGTGCACCCTTGTGTTACAATGCCAGAGGAGGCCACAAGAGGACACTGGATCCCCTGAAACTGGAGCTATGGGTGATTGTAGCCTACCAGGTGGGTGCTGGGAACTGAACTCAGATCTTCTGCAAGAACTGCCAGTGCTGTTAACCACTGAACCATCTCTCTAGCCCCCACTTTGATCTTTAAGGTGATCCCACCAGAGATCAGGGGATGCATGTGCACACACGTGCATACACATGTGCACATGTGAACACCAAATGTATGTCTATTTATGCTATCCTCCAAGCAAAAATTTCCTACAAAATAGTTGATCTGAGTGTTAAGAAATTCTGAAAAACTGGATCCTTCATCAAAAGCAAATCTTGGTCGTTGATTGTCATAAGTTTAGACCCCAGCTTGTACCAAAGGTTCTTGGGAGGGCTCTGTGGGGTATAGTACCTACAAGAGTGTGTCGCTCTTGGAGAAACTCACAGCTAGAGCATTTGTAGTCACTTAATACTCCTGGCCTATGTCCATGTGGCCTGAGTCAGCTTTGCCCACAGAGGCTTCTGCAGTGCTGGGAGAGGCCACAGGGTCTGACATGCTCCTTCACCCACTCCCACAGGGCTCCATAAAGAAAGAGTTCCCACAGAACTTGGGGGGCAGCGACACATGCTATTTCTGCCAGAAGCGGGTCTACGTGATGGAGCGGCTGAGTGCGGAGGGCAAGTTCTTCCATCGGAGCTGTTTCAAGTGCGAATACTGCGCCACCACCCTGCGCCTCTCGGCCTACGCCTACGACATCGAGGACGGTGAGTCTGTCTGCACTTTGGTCAAGTCAGCAATTGGACATGATGGCACTTTTCTTCATTTAAGCCAGGGACTTTGGGCCCTGACTGCCTTCTTCTATTAGTGGGTTTTATACTAACACTTCTCAGCCATCTCCCTCCATCCTTTGTAGGGCTTTTTTTTTCTGAGACTCTTTATTTTTGTTTTATGTGTCTTAAGTGTCTTATGTGCATGTATGTAAGTACACCCCTATGTGCAATACCCACAGAGTCAGAAGAGGGTGTCACATCCCCCTGGTACTAGAGTTATGGACAGTTGTTAGCTGCTATGTGGGTGCTGGGAACTGAACCTGGGTCCTCTGCAAGATCACTCAGTGCTCTCCAACCCCACCCCTCTTTTTACCTGAGACACTTACAAATACTTTTCCAAAGGCACTGAACTGTGGTTACCCTGCTCAGTAAGGCGATCAGAGTGGCGGCATTAATCCCATCTCCCTCGCTGCCCACACCTCCATATCTCATATGAGTAACTGAAGATAAAAGGGACATAAGAATGTCCTGACCCCTTGTGGAAGAAGGGTTCATAGAAGTCATGTTTCTTACCCAAAATCGATGACAATAAACTAAAGTAGATCCTGGGCTTCTGCCTTCTGAAACTGATTGAAGTGCTCAAGCCTTGTCGCCTCCTTCTGGCACCAACATCTTTGCCTGGGCCCAGGTCATTTATACTGTGGTGTTCAGAGTGGAGCTTTTTGTGACTTTTGCTGGTTTTACAGTGGAGAGACCTTGGCAGGTTAGAAGCTAGAGAAGTGTGCCAACAAATAATAAAGCCAACTTGCCATGTGAAGACTCTTAAAGGTAATGGAAATAGATGACCAAAGGCATTTGTGACTCCTGCATCCATTTCCTACAGGATGCTGAAGAAGCTTCATGGGAGGCAGTTTAATTAGTTCAAAAGTAATAAAGAAACCTAGATTCATAGGAAAGAAAAGTAAATCGTCATGGGGATGCTATTACACATGAGCCTTGATAGGTGACTTATTGACCATGAAGGGAGCGGGTGATGAGGAAGGGAGCCCATAACTAAGACAGTCACTCCAGGGTCTCCTAGTAGTGAATTCAGTCAGCTCTGTCAGAAGAAGACACGAGCCAAGTGGTGAGCTCTCAGCGTCCTGGCACCTGGCTCTCTTCCTGCATTAGCACAAGGCAGTACTCAACAGGAGAAGCATTGAAACAGTTGCTTAGGTGAGGAAGAGAATTTGTTAGGGAGAAGTTTTTGGTTCCACTCATTCAATGCCCTTGCCTTCAGGGTAGCACCTTTGACTCCAAGGATGGAGATTGGCAGGTGGATCCCCCAAGCCTCTTGGAACTGTCTTTGATACTTAAGTTATTTTAGTTAGCCTTTTACCTTAGGATGTGCCTGAAAAGAAGACCCCTCAGAGTCCAGCCAATTGGTCCATAGGTGGTTTTGCCCATCACCATGTGTACACCTTTACTTCATCTCTTGAAGATGTAGATGAGGTACAGGTGAGCCTCAGGAGCTTACAGTTTGTGTTTGGGAGCTTCTGTTCATAGGAGATGCGTGAGATAACCAACTTATAAAGAGAAGACTTGGATTTGGCTTGTAATTTTGAAGACTTCTAGTCGATGACCAATTGGTCTGTTGCTTTCTAGTCTGTGACAAGGGAGCAACATGGCAGGAGTGTATGGCAGTGCAGGAAGCCAAAAAGAGAGAAGGGACTGTGGATCCCAGTCCCTTGCAAGGGCACACCCCCATGGCCTAACTTTTCCCAGTAGACTCCACCTTTTTTTTTTTTTTAATTTTATGTGTATGAATGTTTTGCCAACATGTATGTAAGTGTACTACATGTGTGCAAAGCCTGAGGAGGTCAGAAGAGGGTGTCAGATCCCCTGGAACTGGAGTTAGGGAAGGTTGATAGCTACCATTTGGGCATTAGGAACTGAACCCGGGTCCTCTGCAAGAGCAGCCATTGAACTCACAGAGATCCACCTGGAACTAAAGGCATGAGCCACCATACCCAGCTGGCCACACTTCTTAAAGGTTCCATCTCCTTCCAGTAGCATCACCCGGGGGACCAAGCTTTTATTTAACACACAGCCTGGCACATTCAGTGAGAATGATAGACCCAGTGTGCACGAGGCAAAGCAGACAGTCTGAGTATGATGAAGGACCAGGCCATGTGGTATGCGTCATATATGGTACTGTGTTTCCTGTGCAGAAGTTCAGCTGAGGAAATCAGTGACATTCTAGAGCTAGGCACATTATTCTAGATATGAAAGCAGGCAGAACAGCTCTATAGCAGCTTCCCCAATTTTTTTTTTTTAATGTATATGAGTGCTTTACCTGCATGTATGTAGGTGTACCACATGTGTACAATGCCTGCAGAGGTCAGAAGAGGGCATCAAATCCCCTGGAACTAGAGTTAGGAACCGTTGCTAGCCTCCATGTGGGTGCTGGGAACTGAACCCAGGTCCTCTGCAAGAACAGCCAGTGCTCTTAACCAATGAGCCATCTCTTCAGCCTCAGCTCCCCAAATTTTAACCTACATGTAATTTTCATCAGCTTCTCTTCTTGAAGTCTCTCTTACCTGTCAGAAAACAAGAGGACTAGAAAAAAGAACGGAATCTTAGGGAAAATAAAGTTTTAAGTCTATTCCTCAGTGAAATTATCAAGTGATTTGGAAATCTCACTGAAGAGCTTCAGATAAGAAGAGGAAAAACAGTTGGAGAGATGGCTCAGCAATTAAGAGCACCGGCTATTGAGCCAGGTGCGGTGGCGCATACCTTTAATTCCAGCGCTCAGGGAGACAGAGGCAGGTGAATCTCTGTGCGTTCAATCAAAATAATTTTTTAAAAAAAGAAAAGGAAAAGCCAGGCGTGGTGGTACACGCTTTTAATCAGAGCGCTAGGGAGGCCAAGGCAGGTGGATCTCTGTGAGTTCAAGGCCAGCCTGGTCTATATAGTAAGTTCCAGGTCCACTGGGACTACAGAGAGACCCTGTCTCAAAAAAACCAAAAGAAAGAAAGAAAAGAAAAAGTAAAACTGGAGAGATGGCTCAGCAATTAAGAGCACTAGCTCTTCTTACAGAAGACCCAGGTTCGAATCCCAACACCCACACAGTGGCTAACAACCATCCATAACTCTAGTTCCAGGGGCTCTGATGCCCTCTTCTGTCCTCTGCAGGCATTGCACAACACAGGTGCACTTACATACATGAAGGTATAACACTCATACACATATAAAATTTTTTTTAATTAAAAATAAATTTAACAGAAGGAAAGGAAAAGTCAACAAAGTTGGCTCTCAGGAGAAAAGAAAGAAATAACCCAAGCATTGTGCTGAACCCTGTACCAAGCACGCCATTGCATTCTTGAGACAGCCTGGTGAGGGCTTTTATTATTGTAATTTTGTGAATTAGAAACCAAGTTCAGAGAAGTTATGAGTTGCTTATTCAAGTTTATATAGCTAACAAGAGCCGATATGTACCAAGTGGCCCCTGAGAGCCATTCCAGATCAGACATTCAGGGATTAGTGACTCTGGGCTCTTTGTCAACTCCAAACCCATAAACTAAGATTCATGTATTCAAAGATAGGCCATGGTCACTGTTACACTGTTGAATTTCTCCTTTAGCTCTTTAAAGGATTCCATCTGCCCAAAACCAAGCTGTGCTAGCTGTTGCCAAATGCCCTTTTATCATTGTTGCCAACTCTTATGACTGATTCCCAAGTTAGACAGTATGTTGTTTGTCTCTGTCTCTGTGAGGAAGCCTGTGAAGCCTGAGGGACCTTATGAAGTCCCTTGAGTGACAAGCTCGAAACAGTCTGCTGTTGGCCATTGCTGCTGGTACCTCCCAGACTGGCCATGTCCCAAGTGATGTTAGAGAGGCATCAGGCCTCACCAGCCCCCTACTTCCTGTCTCATTGCCCTCTGTGGTACAAATGGAATCCACAGCTTTTTTCTGATTGAGAGTTGCAAGTCCACCCCAACTCAGCTACCACCTGCCTTAGCTCTCTGTCCCCTTTCACACTGATCTCGTTTCCATTCCGTAATTGTAGTGCTTCCACTGGTACCACAGGACCTTGCTTGAGCCTAGGACGTACTTCTCCAGTCTTGTTGGAGTGAGCTCCATGGCCCCTCCTCAGAGGTCTTCCCAAGTCTCCTGCTGTGAAATAGCCACTCAGGTTCAGCCACCACCCGTTATAGTTATGTCCACACTACTCACTGCATCGTCGATCTACATGTCATCTGCTCCATCCAATCAAAGACCTCGAAGCCTTGGTTGGCGGTTCTAGCGTTCATGTCACTCCTGTCATTGCAATAGCACTCACAAATGTCTGAGTAAATAGCTACCTGACTAGTTCACTTTAGGCTTTGCCTGACACACACCTGTCCTCCCATTCCCTTTTCCAGTCACTAATTCAAGATTGCTTCATTTAGACCATCTATAGTCAGTCACTTTATTGAGTCTCCTATAATTTATGATCAGTTTACAACGTTAGCCTGGCTGACTTTCCTGAGACAGTCATAGTGCAGTTAGAAGGTGCAAGCTTTGGAGCCAGCTTCCTGCCTGAGGTGCTCCGACAATGGAACACTGGCTGCTCGGTTTTGATGTGCCTCACCTGTGGAAAGATGGTCAGAAACAGTCCCTCATTGAGAAAAACAGTTAAGAATTGCATCTGATGGAGCTGGAGAGATGGTTCAGTGGTTAAGAACACTGGCTACTCTTGCAGAGGACCCAGGTTCAATTCCCAGCACCCACATAGTGGCTAACAACCAGTTCCAGGGGCTCTGATGCCCTCTTCTGACCTCCAACAGCACCACCTGACATGGGTATACCTACCTACATGCAGGCTATACACTCAACATACACATGAAATAAAAATAATAAATAAAAATGTTTTTTTTAAAAAATGAATTGGGCCAGGCGTGGTGGTGCACACCTTTAATCCCAGCACTTGGGAGGCAGAGGCAGCCGGATCTTTGTCTCAATAAATAAATAAATAAATAAATAAATAGATAGATAGATAGATAGATAGATAGATAGATAGATAGATAGATAGATAAATATTAATTAATTAATTAATTAAATTGGGGGCTAGAGAAATGGCTCAGCGATTAAGAGCACTGGCTGCTCTTGCAGAGGATCAAGGTTCAATTCCCAGCACCCACATGGCAGCTAACAATCTTCCATGACTTCAGTTTCAGGGGATCCAGCACCCTCTTCTGACAAGCAGTTGATCATGAGGGCTCTAACTTTATCAGTGGATTAATGGATTAATAATTTAATGGCGATACTGGGTGGCGATAAGAACTTCAGATCGTGGGGCCTGATTGGAAGATGTGGTCACATGTGCCCTGGAAAGATGTCCCTTGTCCCTAGCCTCCCCAACTCTAGCTCTGCTTCCTGGCCACCTTAAAGTGAGCAGCAGCTCTGCTCCACCACCCATTGTCCAGCTGTCCACCATGTTGTCCTGAATCAGCAAGACCCAAAGCAACGGAACCAAGTAACGCTGGACCGAACCCTCTGAAATGATCAGGCCAAATCAGCATTTTCTCCTTTAAGTTGTTTTTCGTAGCCATTTTGTCAAAGTAGTAGAAAGCTGACTTACATAGTGAACCAAAGCAGATAAAAGAATAAGTCAGCTACTTTGAAAATCAAGAAAATGGTGGATATAAACACTTGCTCTGCAATCATGAGAACCTGCGTTTGAATCTCCTAACACCCACATAATAAACTGTGAATGACTACCTTGCCTGCAACCACAGCATGGGGGAGCAGAGGCAAATCCTGAGGGCTTTCTAGCCAGCCAGGCTAGCTGAAATAGCCAGCTTCTGCTTCAGTGAGAGACCTGTACACTTATGTGCGACACACACACACACACACACACACACACACACACACACAAGGTGGGGTATATGCTCAGATCACCAAGGAAGGGGAAAAGGAAGCATATCAGCCCATCCTTATTTTCTGCATCTTGTACATCCCCTCATTTTACCTTTGAGATGAGTACTCATTTGTTGAAGGAACACCTTCCAAATGAGAAGGTAAGATGGGCAGTCTCTGTTTCCATAATTCCTATCACAGGCTCTAGTGTTGAAGAGTTTCCAGGCTTTAAGCAAGAGCAGAGTCATACGCTCTGACTTTTTTTGGCCCCGTCCTCTGGAGTAAATAAATTACACTAGGTAAAACCCAGCAAATGCATGTCGATAGGGCTGAAAGTTTTAGAGAATAACATTTTATCTGGTACCTTGAAGCACACTCTGGATTTACTCTTGTTCAGTTCTGCTCTACTCATGGTCCATGGAGGATTTGATTTTTCAGTTTTGTTTTGCATTGTTGGGGGGGCACACATGCACATGTACACATGCACACAGTCCATTGGTGGAGATCAGAGGGCAGCTTTCTCCTTGTTTCTGTGGCTACACTGCATACTCCAGGGTAGCTGACCCTCAAGCTTCTGGCCAGTTCCCTGGTCCCCTCCTGTCTCTCCATAGGAATGCTGGGATTACAGGTTCCACTCCACCACGTCCTGCTTTTTACATGGGTTTTGGAGATCAAACTCGGGATGTCAAGCTATCGCTTTTACCTGCTAAGCCCTGGCCTCTCACATTATTTTGCTTTTATTTTGAGACAAGGTGTTCCTGTAGCCTCAGCTGGCCTAGAACTTCGCCATGTAGACCAGGCTGACCTTAATTTCACTGAGATCTGCTTACCTCTGCTGGGATTAAAGGCATATGCCATCATGCCTGTCACCCTCTCATTGTTTTTTATTGGGGGGGGGCAGTCTTTTTGAAACAGGGTCTGGGCTACAGAGATCCATCAGCCTCTGCCTCCCAAATGCTGGGATTAAAGGCGTGGGCCACCATGCCCAGTTCCTCCATTGTTTTAACACACTACAGGGTTGTAACCTGCCACCAGGACCAGCACTGGCTAAAGTACAAGGGAGAGGTAGCAGTCTATGGTTGTGGAGGGAGCAGAGGTCGTCCTGTCAGATCTAGTTGGTGACTCTGCCCTCAGCCCTGCAGCCTTCACGCCTCCATCCTGCATTTGTATTCATTCTTGCCTTCCCCAGAAATGCTGCTCAGAGTTTTCATGTGACCATGTCTTTGTCCTCACACACTACCACTTTGTTTGCTGGCTTTGCCATGCAAGCCTCACATCTGTGCTCTAGGCACTGATTGGTGGTAGCTCAACAACCTTCGTACACCCAAAGGGGAGGACCTCAACATCAGGCACTGGGAGAGGAGCAGGGCTGGAACCAGAGCTTGGCGTGAGGGCTGGCCTTCCTGAATTGCCCGGGGTGGGGGGTGGGGGGGTTGGCTGGAAGAGACCAGCCTCAGTGTAGCAAATCAGGTTCACAATTGTGGAGTTTTCCTCACTCTTTCTCCACTTCTTGCTGTCCACAGGTAAATTCTACTGTAAGCCGCACTATTGTTACCGACTGTCTGGCTACGCGCAAAGGAAGAGGCCGGCAGTGGCTCCTCTGTCTGGAAAGGTAACAGCTTTCCTTCCTGTATGTGGGTGAGAATGTCAGAGTGTTGCCTGTCCTGTGAGTGGGCCTGAGAGGGACTGCAATCAGGCTGCAGATGGACCAACTTTTCAAGCAGTCTCTAAAGTGATGCTTGGGGATTATTCTGAGCAGAAGGGCCCCTTCTCACGTGGTCAGAGCTCTCCTCTAAGTAGCTGGAGAAGAGCCAGCCTCAGGAGTCCCTCCCTTTCCTCAGGTCCCCCAGAGCCAGTCTCTGCTCTCCAGACAGATAAAACCAGACTGCTCACAGCCTGCACTGCCTGCTTCCCCTTAACCCCTGACTCTGTGAGTTATTTGTCTAAGGCCTCTCCTTTCCTTTCTCATTCAATGAGAGTGGCCCCCTCTTTGTCAAAGCGACCTGAGTAATCTCTGCACTGCTGAAACAGCATTTTGCCAGCATGCAGGCTGATCACTGCTCTTTTGGAAGACTTGAGTTGACTGTGGAGGGCTAGTGGGAAGAGGTATACAGTTGGCCTTCTGTGTCCGTGGACTCTATCATGGGTTCCATGCTCAGATGGAAAATCGTTGGTGGAAAATACTACTTTTGTACTGAATCTGTACAGACTCTTCCATCTCCTGAGCAATATAGTGTTACAGCTGTTGATGTAGTATTTATATTGTGTTTGGTCTTGGTCTTATAAGTTATCTAGAGATCTTTTAAAGTTGTCAAGGATATGCTTAAGTTAGATGTAAATACAAAAAAAACCCTTTTTTTTTTTTTTGGTCTTTTTGAGACAGGGTCTCCCTGTAACCCCAG